CCTTCCTGTGTTTGTGTAAGCCAGCCCAGGAAGAATGGTGGAATCCATCTTAAACCTGGTGCTTTTCCATTTAGAAGAGGGGTGAAGATCCAGAGAGACAAAAGATTCCCGCCTTGTGCCAAAGCTATAAAAGGGGTGGAAGAGAACAAAGGAGGCTGCCAGTCATGATATATTCCCTAGCTACCACCTGAGCTGTAATTAACAAGGACTGTACCAGGGGAAAGGATTGGGCCCAGACTAGGAAGGAGTCTAGTCTGTGAAAGAGGCTTATTGGAACATCTCTGAGGGTGAGATTTACCTGTAAACAGTTTCTTAAGGTATTAGGCTTAGAGTTGCATGTTTTGTTTTATTTTGCTTGGTGACTTACTTTGTTCTGTCTGTTATTACTTGAAACAACTTAAATCCTACTTTTTATACTTAATAAAATCACTTTTGTTTATTAGTAAACACAGAGTAAGTGATTAATAGCTGGGGGAGCAAACAGCTGAGCATATCTCTCTATCAGTGTTATAGAAGGCGGACAATTTATGAGTTTACCCTGTATAAGCTTTATACAGAGTAAAACGGATGTATTTGGAGTTTAGATTCCACTGGGAGCTGGGCATCTGGGTGCTGGAGACTGGTAACCTGCTGAGCAGTTTTTGGTTAAAGTCTGCAGCTTTGGGGGCGTGGACCAGATCTGGGTCTGTGCTGCAGCAGGCTAGCATGTCTGGCTCAACAAGGCAGGATTCTGGAGTCCCAAGCTGACAGGGAAAACGGTCTCAGAGGTAGTCTCAGCACGTGAGGTGATAGTCCCAAGGGAGTCTCTGTGACTGAACCTATCACAGCACCATCTTGTCCAAAGCTACTAATAGAACCTCTTACTAATATTGCAGTGTTCTACAGTTACGTTATAGGTTCAATGCTGCTGTGCTGCTTTCAATCATACGGTTCTATTTGGAAATCTATTGTATTTTTTTAATTACTATTGTGTGTGAGACAATTGTTGCAAGATGGAACACTAAGTTATTTCAGAATCTTAGATTTACCGAAAGTAATAACAAACAAATGGCATTTTAAGTAATTACTGACTAATATGCTTATGTAATACTTTCATATTATAACAGATTATATTCTATTGCAGTTAATTGGCTTTCACAGGTAGAGCTGAGTCTAAGATTTTCCTGTCCTGTCATCCTGGTTTTACAAGGTTTATATGTTTTTAAATACACTCAGAATAATCTATCTATCTATATTATCTACACGTACATGTGTAGATATATGTATGTATGTATCTACACATACATGTGTATATATATGTATGTATGCATTTATACATGTATGTTATATTATCTACACACACTTAAATACACGGCATAAGATTCACTAAAGTTTATTCCAGTTGTTAAATACACCTCTCTGCTCTAGCAAGAGTTGGATGGTGTTTCTCTGATCATCCTTCCTGGACACTTCCACTATGAGATGGCTGCTTTAGCTGGAGACCACCATAAGAGTTGTTCTGACAGTGCCTGCAAAGGTGATGCACAGAATTGAGTATATACTTGGACAGTCATGGCCAGGCCTATTTCTAGCCATCACCGGTCACAACTGGCTGGCTGTGAATGACTCAAAGGAGTCTGGGTTGAAGGCCTCTTGTACTGTCACAGCCCCTTTTAGGTGGGTTTTCTTCTGCCCAGATTAGTTCTGGCTTTAGTTCATGGACAGTCGTGAAACTGGCCCACTATATGCAGCTATCAGATTTGCTATAGTCTGAATAGAAATGAGCAAAAGCAGAACATCTGAGCCAGCTACCACTAAAGCACAGGACATTTCTAGCTGCATGTTTTTCTGATACTGTGCATTTTCAGTCATTGTGAAAATCACTCAGGACAAAGGACAGGCACTTGTTATAATTTGTTTCATAACAAATTGTTTTGTGAGAGATTATTTATTTATTTTAAAACACTTTAGTTACCATTCAAAAGGTGTAAAGTCCCCAAAGGACACAATTGCTTGTAAAAGCTTTCAGAACTAATTCTGTCACTAACCATTTGTTTTTGTAACAACCCCAACCACATCTACTCAGCAGACATGAACTCAAGTTGTTCAGCACCAAAACATAAGCCTGTATCAAAACTGTGCTCATTAGCAGAAATAATAGGCTCTTATCCTCTAGATGGACTCACCAGTAGAGGGACACCATAGACTTTGCCATCATGTTTATACATGCTGTAGTTCTAGGTTTTAGAGGTCCACAGAAGTTCAAATCTCTTTGAAACACCCTGAACTTGAGCTAAAAAATTAAATCCATTAGCTGGTCAAATCAGTAGGTATTTATCCCCTGTGTGGGCTAGATACTGGAGATTGGGTTGCAATTTAGCCACCATGTTATAGGAAACAGAAACTGTTTCACTGATGCCTAATGTACCAAATGCAGTGATTAAACTTAGACCTCTAGTGTAGTTTCCTGAACTTTATTCAGCTGTACTGAAGTGCCAATGTTCCACATCACTTAAATACCAACCACTGTGGTCTGTTGTATAACAGTGCATTATCTTCATCAACGACTTAGATATTGGCATAGAAAGTACGCTTATTAAGTTTGCAGATGATACCAAACTGGGAGGGATTGCAACTGCTTTGGAGGATAGGATCAAAATTCAAAATGATCTGGACAAATTGGAGAAATGGTCTGAGGTAAATAGGATGAAGTTTAATAAAAATAAATGCCAAGTGCTCCACTTAGGAAGGAACAATCAGTTTCACACATACAGAATGGGAAGAGACTGTCTAGGAAGGAGTATGGCAGAAAGGGATCTAGGGGTTATAGTGGACCACAAGCTAAATATGAGTCAACAATGTGATGCTGTTGCAAAAAAAGCAAACATGATTCTGGGATGCATTAACAGGTGTGTTGTGAGCAAGACATGAGAATTCATTTTTCCACTCTACTCTGCTCTGGTTAGGCCTCAGCTGGAGTATTGTGTCCAGTTCTGGGCACCGCATTTCAAGAAAGATGTGGAGAAATTGGAGAGGGTCCAGAGAAGAGCAACAAGAATAATTCAAGGTCTAGAGAACATGACCTATGAAGGAAGGCTGAAAGAATTGGGTTTGTTTAGTTTGGAAAAGAAAATACTGAGAGGGGACATGATAGCAGTTTTCAGTTATCTAAAAGGGTGTCATAAGGAGGAGGGAGAAAACTTATTCATCTTAGACTCTAAGGATAGAACAAGAAGCAATGGGCTTAAACTGCAGCAAGGGAGGTTTAGGTTGGACATTAGGAAAAAGTTCCTAAGTGTCAGGCTGGTTAAACATTGGAATAAACTGCCTAGGGAGGTTGTAGAATCTCCATCTCTGGAGATATTTAAGAGTAGGTTTGATAAATGTCTATGAGGGATGGTCTAGACAGTATTTGGTCCTGCCATGAGGGCAGGGGACTGGACTCAATGACCTCTCGAGGTCCCTTCCAATCCAAGAGTCTATGAATCTATGAATTGAACTAGCATTACTCATCAAAAATATTTCTGCTTTTATTTATTATTTTAAATATTTTAAATATTTATAAGAGAAAGTTTAAAACATGATTAATCAAAGAAAGTTCTGTCATAATTAATCAAAGAAAGGTAACATCCTTTTGGCATTCCGATCAATGAGCCAATACCTGTAAAAAGCTATGAATTCCCTGGTAGATCAAACAATCCTCAGCACTCTTTAAATCATTAGAATAGGGAAATTTATATATGAGGAACAACATGAAGACAACTTCATTTTGCTAGGATTCTGTGAAGTTTAATAGTTGGGGGGGTTCAGTATGAATAATAATCCAATCTTTACGTGATTATCCAGCTGGAGATGAAAAAACTTCAATTTGCTTCATTTGCAACCCACTTGAGCAATACTTGTTCAAAACTTCATCTTGAACTTAGATGTTCCTGGGTTTGTTTTCTGCTTAGCAGAAAAAGGAGCACTTTCTAGCCCAAGCAATCATTCCTATCTCTAACTACATATTAGTCAGTTCTTTTTCTAGTAGGCCCCCTAGCACAAAGACCTGTAATAAAACTCATTGCTGAATAATATGTTGACATAATGCTTGTAAATTATCAGTCATTAATCATTCTATTGCTGCATCTCACCTCTAGCATTTAAAGATGAGCTGTGGGTTGATATAATAATATGATACTGTCTATATACTTGCCTGTTATCATTCCTCTGAAATCTGACATGTTTATAGTGGCTCTGTCCATGCATCCATACTAGTTGTCTGGCATTATTGTTAATAATAACATAGAATTTGAAACTTGAATGTACAAAACAACTTGAAAGAGGTTCATGAAACTTCCTTTGGGGTGAAGTCTATGTTAACATAAAGTCCAGCATTACTCACTGTTGGGTTTTTTATCATTTAATATTGTCCATAATAGATTAACACAAAATGCTATTAATTGTAAAACATGAATGAGCTGCTCAGAAATTGTGTTTCTCATATGGTGAAAACAAGCTGAACTGCACTAGTGAGAAGCAGCATTTTCATCCTTTTACACCAAGGAAAAGCCCCATTTTGCTGGGATGGGTTTACACAGATCTACTCACATGAACAATGATTATAGTCAAAGCCTAGACCACATACACTATAAACAGAGAGACCATTTTATAGACAATCTGTGAACTATTTCAAGGTCATGTATGTTTTTACATGAAGACCTTATCTCCCAGTGCACTCAGTTGGTTTGAGAATAAAGACAATAAACCATTCTTCATTAATCTTTCTTGTCCTTGAAAAGTGACCTCGTACAGGAAGATAGCCTGTCACCATTCAGAACATTAACCCCACTTAAATGAATCAGGTAAATCTCAAATGCAGAAACAGCCCTTGCCTCCACTCTCAACTTTCTGATGATTTTTTTTCTAGAGATAGTGATCACTGGATCCTTTACTGGATTCAGTTCTCATTTCTCTTGGGACAATTAGCTTTAATAAGAATTTAAGTTTTTAGGAGAAAAAATAGCACGCTCCATAATTACCTGCTGCCACCTTGCCTCAATGACAATCACAACTGGTCTGGCACATCTTCTTTGTTTTGCAACTCAGTGCAGTCCAATGGTTTTCAAGAGCCCTCTTTGTCAGTGAATCTGAAATTCTGATTCACAGAAGCATGTAGCTCTTTCTCTTCCTCCTCCTTCTTCTGCTTTTTTTGCAGTGTGGGGATAATTGCTTGCCTCTGTTGATAACATTAGTGTTGTGTAGCAAACATAATCTATTTTCCCCAAATATACAGGGAGCTATAGCAAATGGTTTTACTATGGCTTTTTGGCACCAGTTAAGTTTACCCTCTGCCTTCTACTTCATCTCTGAAGTACAGCTACATTGTTTGCTATATTTTAGATGCTACTTTGATGTTGCTGGATGCCATCCCCAGAAGGACTTATGTTAGAAATGTCAGAGAGTTAATGACTGGAACTGATCATAAGCAGTTTCTGCTTCAAGGCTGAATCAGTTGTCAAACCTGTTCTGCTGCCCAGTTTTTACTTAATATGCTGCTTGATGCACAATGGCAATCAGTTTTTAAAATACTGTTAAACGAACAGCAGATGTAGGTTGAATTGCCGAAAGCAGAAAAATAAAGACTCAACCCCACACCTGTATTGATTTTTGCATAACATCTCTGCCAAAGTGGTAAACAAATACCATTAAAATATTTGTCTAAATTGGTTTATATATTCTTGTGGGAAATCATGTCAATTAATTTCATAAATGTGCAAAATATTACAGCACATTTCATAGGGCATATCATGCCTGTCCATGTTTTTTCTCCATCACAACCACCTGCTGCATAATTTGGAATTAAAAGAATAAAATATACTGATTTTAATCATGATTCCAAAGTAATGTCTTGTGACAAAACACTGTTAAGAAATTCAAAATAAAAATAAAATGGACAGCTTATACACAGTATCTAGTTTTTCTCATCTAGTTTTCAGGGAATAGAACAATAGAAATAATGGGAGTGGGCTAGAAAATGATTATTTATTTTTAAAAACTGACCTTGGAGGCATGTCTTTTATCATTAGTTTTATAAAATTACGCATATCTAAACTGGAAACAATACAGTTTGCTTTATGCATTCAGAAATGGGGGAAAGGGAAAGAAAACATGAAATGCAAAAAGGAAGTTTATCTAAACTAATAACTGAAATCTAAAAATAGGACAGAATACAAAAGGATAGAATAATTTTCACACACAATTTTTGTCTTTGAATTATTTTGCAAACATTTTTAATCAAGATTTTGAATGTTTGAAAATTTTGACTACACTCTGTGGAAGGTAGAGCAATGAGGAGTGGTATTTTTGTCTAATAAAATCCTGCCCCAATTTGCAGGTGATGCAGAGGTCACAAGTTCCCCTGAGTTGTGAAGACCAAGACCATAACAGGGTTCAAAAAAGAACTTGATAAATTCATGGAGGATAGGTCCATCAATGGCTATTAGCCAGGATGGGCAGGAATGGTGTCCCTAGCCTCTGTTTGTCAGAAGCTGGGAATGAGCAACATGGGATGGATCACTTGATGATTACCTGTTCTGTTCATTCCCTCTGGGGCACCTGGCACTGGTCACTGTAGGAAGACAGGATACTGGGCTAGATGGACCTTTGGTCTGAACAAGTAGGGCTGTTCTTATGAGTTAGGCTTTCTGCCACTTTGTAGAGCTGCCACAAGTTACAGATCTGCATAATTATGGAGTAAACTGGATTATTTTTACTCCAGTTTGTTGGATCTGTGCTCAGCATACTTGCTTAACTTGAGCTACATTCTAGCCACTTTTGCAGATCGAGCCCTCAGTCCTTAGGCAGAAAAAAACATTTACTTCAGTGAGGATTTTGTCTGAGAAAGGACTTCAGGACTGAGCTCATACAAAGTAGCAGACATGAGATGTCAGTAATATTATGTATACTTCTATTGCTCCACAAGGTGACTGAGCTGTAGCATGTAGTCTATATATAACCTAGAAGATGCACCATAGCAGAACAATCCTTTAAGTGAGACTTTCCAATTAAAAGCTTCAGGCCACTATCACATTTGACAACAGATGACGTTTGCAAATAAAATTGTTACTCCACATATGTAGTTAATTTTCCCTGCTTCTAGTATTATCTTAACAACCTCTATATAGTGCCAGTTAATTAGTATTCCCATTCCAACAGACACTTCCAGACTCTCATTACTGAGAGTTTCTTATTAGCTGTTCTTGAAATAAGGAGAGATTGACACTGGTACAACAAAATATATTTGCTTTCAAGAACTTGCTATCATAAATGATGAGCTGAATATGCGTCCTGCAGATAATGCAGTTACATGGTGGAAGGTTCCAGAATTACTACACAGCCTGATAGGCACTAAAGACAATTTGGAATATTAAGTGTGTGTGTGTTTGTATATATATACACACTTACTATGCCATATATATATGATTGATGGATTCATGGCTTTCTTTTCTATTGTAAAGCAGTTCAAACATCCCGATCAGAGTATTCAGTCATTTCAATGATTCTCTGGAGACTGTCATGGTCAGCAGAATCAAAGAAAGGTTTACAATTAATGAAGCAGAACTATTCTGTGCTGTGGAACCTGATGAGTTCTTCCAGTAACTATTGTAGGGCAAAGATTTGATGTATAACTGATTAGTCTGGCATGCAATCTGCTTGCTCATGGTGATGTTTTGAGCAATGTGACAGAATATTTGCAACATTCCTGCCAGTGGAGCATAGTAGAGCAAAGCTCCTATGTTTGTTATATTCTTTTTTAGTTCTTACAAATTTCCAAGAAACTAACCTTCACAGCATTACCAGTCATATGCTGTACTTTCATAGCTCTATACACTATTTATATCAAGTACAGCACTGCTATGAAAGTGTCTGTAAAAATGGCATCATAATGTTCCATGTTTATTATTTCACTGATTAAGTATCAAAGTTGCACAGTGTCAAGTTAAAAATGTTTTTTTCTAACTGTTATCCCTGCAAACTTAATATGGGCATTGAACCTCAGGCTGGGTTCCTTCTTTTTCATACATCACCAATAATAATGATTCTGCAGCCCCTTTGAACTGTCAGGAGATTGCCCAGGTGTAACTGAGGGCATAATTTGAAGATGATGAAGTTGTACAGGTTGAATTAAAGGTCTATTTTGGCCTACCACATCTATCTTATTAGTGAGCTGATGTCATGCCCTGTGGGTCTCAAACCCATGGCCATGGAGATTTTTATACTCCACTTCTGCACCCTGCAGTTCATAGACAGCAGCTTGTACTGAGGTCCATGAAGCCCAACTTGGGTACAAGCCCTGCCCCTAAGCTCTGATTTGAAAAGCTCCAAGGAGCTTGATTGGGCAAGAGACCCTATTTAAACTAGATGAGGAAACAGGAAACTATCTGTACAATGAGGATTCACTCTGCCATGGACTGCTGTTCTGGAGTTTACCTGTTCCTGACTTCTGATCCTGATATTTTGACTTGGCCTCGTTCTTGGTAACTGACTCTTTGTCCCTGCATTCTGGTTTGTCTCTCAGTTGTGATGATCTGGAGTTCCAATTTGGCTTGATTCTGGTTAGCTCCTGGTCTGTCCCTGACAGTAATCTCTAGACCAGGCCCACAGCTATTAAGAAAATGTAAACAATATTGATATTTGATGGAAAATGTTGTCTTTTTTTGCAAACTTTTTCCTTGTTTTTTAACTAGCTCTAATTATTGGTCAGAAGTGAAATGGAAAGATCCCAACAGGATTTTCAGAATTTAAGTTGAATTTTCAGGACTGGTAGGTAGAAAACCTGGGCAAAATTTCTGATGGTGTAACTCCGTGGGAGACGATGGGATTACGCTACCAGAAAATGTAGGTCTTCATCTTGTTACATCTAAATGGAGGAAATCAGATATACAGTCAGTAAGAAACAATAAACACAGAATCCCACAATGTCATTTTTACAATAGAACTAACCTTTACATTTGTGTTGGTGGGAACATAGCATGGTTATTGTTAGGAAATTTTTGCAAAGCATATTATGGAGTCCCTTTAAAACTGATATCTTTCTATTGTCTGTACAGGTTTGGTTCACTCACTAACCTGTGCACTGTTAATGGACACATGGTCCACTGTGACATCATTAACCTAGCACTTGATATAAGAGGTAGAATCATAGGTGCCGACTCCAGGGGTGCTGCAGGGATAGAGCACCCATAGGGAAAAAAATGGTGGGTGCTTAGCACCCACTGGTAGCCCCCCTATTAATACCTGCTGGTGGCCTTGCCAATCAGCACCTCCCCCTTCTCCTCCCCCCTCCCAGCAGTTCTTCGGCATACAGGAGGTGCTTGGGGAGAGGAGCAAGGGTGGGATGTGCTTGGGGGCAGGAAGTGGTGGAGCCATGGGGGAAGGAGTGGAGTGGGGGTAGGACCTGAGGTAGAGCCAGGCGGAGCATCCCCCAGCTCATTCGAAAGTTGGTGCCTATGTGAAGAACCATTCCATCCTACACTTCCTCTACCTCGAAAATATTAGCTTTTTTATTCAACTTGTTAAATAACTGCTGCTTTGAATTATCTACAAAATATTAATCTTGTTTGCATTTCACCATTTATCTTGACAGTTATTGAACAATACTGTCAATTATCCAACATAAAGTTGCAATCAGTGGCACATCAGGGATTAAAATGCTAGCAAACAAGACCCTTTGGGATAGCTTTGTAAAGCATAGTGACTCTTTATGCTTCACTTGTAAGTCTCAGAATGAAGAAAGAACCTGTGTGAACAATAATATTTTTAATGCGTTCCAACCCCTCTTGAAATCCACTGATACTTCTATTTCCCACCTGCCTCCATACAAATACAACAATTTTATGTTTGCCAAGCTTAAATTTGGGCAACAAAAATTCAGATGGCTGAACCAAAAAATCCTAAAAATAATTGAGGTAGATTTGAACAGAAGCTGCCTTAAAAAAAATCGAATTGACAAAACAAAAAATGTCACATCGAATCAACTGAAATATTTCACTTCTACCTGAATATTTAGAAGGAAGGAAGAGGGAAGGTCATTTAGTTTTGAGTTGACCAAAATGGTTTGGTCAATTCCTACCAATTTTTTCCTTAATTTTCTTATTGTGATTCAGTCATTTTTGGGTATTCACCCTTTTGGGGACTTTTTTTTTTTTACATTGGCCAAACTCAAAACATAATGTCATTTCAAAACAAATGTTTCACAATTTTAAAAATAAAAGCTTTTGAAATGAAAAGTCAAAATAAGACATTTCAAAATAGTTGAAAGGAAATTTTCTGATTTTTTTTTTGGCTATAACTATTTGAATTTGACCAAGATATTGTTTTCAACAAAAATACTATTAATCAAAATATTTTCATTCATTTCCAGCTTACACTAGA